CCAGTCCCAAGTCTATGTTTATCAGAGAAACCATTTGTAGCTTTTTCAATCTCTCTGTAGTCATAGAAAGGAACACTAGAATTGTTGGCTCCTTCACTTACAAGACGCTTTGCGTTCATCAGTTTGTTCACCGAAACAGTTCGCCTTCGTACATAGCAACATAAAAGAGCCACAGCACCCATCAGCAAAGCCCCACCGGCGAGCCCTAACAACACAAACACAACAACATGGTCCATATGTTAATCAAATTCGGGTATGAATTGATTTCATTTTTTCCGAAGATCTCTACGTATTTGGAGGATTATCTCGAAAACCCGTGTCCGGAATCCAGATATGCATGGGCAGGAACTATAAGAAGAATGATGGAAACTCGATTACCTCCAATAAGAACAAAGACTCTAGTATTCCCCCCTCATTTGCCAGACATGTACTTTGAAGCATTGCATTTAGAAATTGGTGAGTTGCTGCATTCTGAAGCATTGCATTTGGAAACTGGTAAATTGTAGAGGAGTTAGTGAATTTATCCAATTACATGTAAGCGAACATCATCAGAACAAAACATGCATTTAAAACTTTTGTTTCATTTATGTAATTTAAAAGGTTTTATCAAATTATAGCCTAATCTTCATATCAAAATACACGATGACGCAAACGTAGTGAAGTAGAACAAAATTATTGACCCAGTTGAGTTGACTCACCTCTCCGGCAGCCAGCGCCAGCTCGGAACCCATCTCCTTCAAACCCTTCGTTGCACAAGCAGTTAAACCCCAGCGTACTGTTACCTCTTTTGACTAACTCACAGCTGGCATTTCCATCACAGTCACAGGGCCCTTTAATCCACCATCCCAAGTTAACTCGCTCGAATTCCAAAGAAAACGACGAGTTCCTCGCCGAGTCAACCACAAACGAAGTCGACGAAAGAAAGAAACGGCACTCCGTTTTATTAACTTCCTCGAAACTGAGCAACCGCTCGCTCCGATTGCTGGCGAAGCAAGTTATGTTGTCGCTGTTAGCAAGGCAAGGGTCGAGATTGAGTGATGGGTCTAGAAACCTCGGCCTTATTTCACAAGGAGCTGGAATGGGTTTCGAACAGCTTTGGAGAAGAAGACTATTGGTGGTCGAAACGGCGTAGCTTTTGCTGAACAAAGCGGAGATCGAAGCGAGCTGTCGGTCGCATTTGGAGGGAAGGTGAACGATGATGTCTCTGGATGTTACGTTGTGGACATCGAAGTTTCCAATCATGGCCCCGGTTCCGGTGCAGTTGAGTCGGATCGGGCAACCCGACGAGAATCCGAATGGAAACGGTAAGGTTCTTGTGAAATTGCTGGTTTTGCAGGAGCCATGGCACGTATTGTTCTTAGAGTGAACAGATTTTGTTTGGGAGATAAGAAAAAGAACTCTTATTGCTATTGAAAACAGTAATTTTGCTTGAAACACTATCATTTTGGATTATCCAAGAAGAAAATAGAACAATCATCAGCTTCCTGAAGAAGAAGAAGAAATCAAACAAGGAGCTCCATTAAGAGAAACAGAGTAATCAATGGGCACCGAATCTCAATATATGCTAAATATAAAGAAAGGTGAAGGCGATTGTTTATTGGAATCTTCTTTTTTCGTTTACAAAAATTTCGTAAATTTGGATTAGTTGAGAATATTTATGAACTTCACCTCTGAACTTGTTATTCTTCAATGGCTGAAGGCATCTGTTATGCTTTTCTTTTCTTTTTTAAAAAAAGAAAATTTCATTGGGATTGAGATAGCTACTGATTTCTTTGAATAAAGTTATAAATAAAATATTATATAAAATAGACTTATTTAGTGGAATATTGTGCTTAACAAAATTAGAGGAAGGGTATGGACAGAAATTATTTAAGAAAACGAGATAGTTTTCGGGCTAAACTATATATTTAATCTTTTTTATCTTTCTGTTTTAAAGATTTTTTTTAATTAATTGAGATTGATATATATCGAACATCCAATTTTAGTGGATTAATATATTAGAAAAGACTTTTTTTTAATACACAAAGACTCGAATTAGAATTATTAATTTTTTTATAATCGCCATTAATATTATTTTTTGGTTTTATTTATTCTTTAAGTAAGTTTATTGGTTTTAAACAATAATTTAGGGTTGAGAGAAATTCCAAAGCATCCTCATTAATTTTTAAAAAAAATTGTGTAATAGTTAACTAATATTTGACTCAATGATATAAATATCGCAACCGTCTTTCGATTGGACCGGGAATTGAACTTCGACTTGAAATAAAATGTTAGAGTTGCCACCAATAATTTATTTTTAAAATAGAATGAGTTGATTGGATACCTCGATTTTTTACTTGATCTGCGCTTTACCGGCAATGTGTCGAGTTCGGGAGTCAATTACTGTCAAGCAAGGATTAGCATTCTTAAACTGCCCTTTCGATACCAATTAATTTTTTGGTTGTCTTTAATTGCAAAAATTAAAATTAAAATTTAAAAATTCAATTCAAATTACTTACCTTTGATTAGTTAGAATGTATTCTAAAAAGTCGAAAATGTGATATAAGAAATAATAAATAAATGTTAAATAAATCAAAATAAAAAAATATTAAATAACTCTCTCGTTGGGACAAGGACCAACACTGTCACAAACATATCAAATTTTGTTTTATTCAAGCTTAAACAAACAGAACGGAAATATATTAAATTATTCATTCTAAAAAAAATAGGCTAATTCCCATTAAACCGTATTAAGTTTCCTGCCTCCACATTCAAATTTGTCTTTGAACTCTGTGGAATTATATTATTCCGATAGTATCCAAAGAAATGGTCAATAGCATTATAAAAGAAAAGATCCAATCAGCAACAAACATGCAACTTACAATTTCAAAAAACTTGATACTATACTCATCAGCAAGAGATTGACCCTTGGAGGTCGGCACAGCCCTTCTGATCTCATCTGTATCAACTTTGTTTCCTACCAGTACCTAGTTGACATTGTCTGAAGCATGTTATTCAATATTACGAATCCAATTCCTGATATTGTTGAAAGATGACTCATCAGTAATATCGTAAACCAGCAAAATTCCCATAGCTCCGCGGTAGTAAGCTGTTGTAATAGCTAGAAATCGCTCTTGACCAACTTGATGAACAGAAAATCCACATGAGAGTAATCACCATGTCTGCAATTGCAAGCTTTATTGGACCCATTGTTTAAAATCGGACTTTTTCATACAAAGAATGAAAATTGAAGAAAGTGTTTTCAGGAAGACTGGAGTTTGCTTTGATCAGGAAGAAGACGTTGTTTTCCGGTTGAAACGTCGGGATCTTCTTGGCGAGAATCAGGAGCGAAACGCCGAGAGCACCGGCCATCAAGATCGATGCGATGGCTACGAGTTTGCATTTCAAAGCCTTGGTTCTGTTGTTGGCATCATGACGAGGAAGCAGCTCGTCGTCACAGGTACATTGCAGAAACCATGGAAGGAAGAGAAAGAAGGCCAAAGAGAGAGAACCGAGCCCCGTGTTTCTTCCCCCCGTTTTCGTTTGTGCCTTTTTGATGCTTTGTTCTTCCTCCCCCTGGTCTGTATCAAAAGAAGAAATAAATAGAAAGGAAGGGCCCCCCAGTGTCCCTTTTTCACACGTGGTCGTCCCCCCTCCAAAAATAATTTGAACATTTGTGTTTTATAGAATATATATATATATATATATATATATATATATATATATATATTCACAGTAAACTAATAAAAAAAACAAATAATGTCTCATTAAACAAAAGATTTGTTAAATTTCCAATAAGCTTCTGAGAATCATCTTTCTCATACTAAATACAAGGCATGCAATGAGCCAACTACAGAATTTGTAAGGGGCTCTGCCCTTGGGTTTTAGGTATACGTCAATTTATTATTTATTATTAGATGGAGATCAGCACATGTGTAGATATACTCATTTGTACGACAGCCCACACGTACTAGTCCTAGACAGCATTTGTGTTTCGCATGCGGTTCCTTGGGACAAAGGAAAATTCCCCGAAACGTGCAATTTAGGGTATAACGACCATAAATATATTGATTACCAAGTCATGCATGACCATTAGATTTTCATGGGTGGGTCCATAATTATCTAAGAAAGTCGTACATTGATTTTTCCCTCTTTACGACGGAGATATAAAGGATTTGAGTCGGGTTTGAATATTATTGAATTTAATTTAATTAAAAAGTTTAAAATTTAATTTAACTCAATCTATAAGTTCACAAACTTAAAATTTAAACTTGAAATATTCTCAGACTTAACTTAATTGAAGTTCAAACTCGAGCTCAGTTCAAATTCAAACTTGAACCTTACGTATATGAAAATATTTTTTGTATTTAAAACAACAACATATAAATATTAATATTATTAATAAATTAATTTTAAAAAATAAGAATTCAATTTATTATTTTTCTAGTTGTTTGTGAACTCTTCGTTTCGATTAGTTAAGAACTCGAGTTGAGTATATTTTGAATCAAAACTATTCAATTAAAATATTAACCGAGTCAAACTAGAGTAACTTGCGATATGTTTCGTTAACTTTACACAAGTGAACGTTGATGTAATATTGAAATAGTAGCACGAAGCTCTATTTGTCTTTCGAATATTATAGTAACAAAGCTCACATAATCCTATTCCCACGATGATCTATGGGGTTTGGTTTGGTTTGGTTTAGCTTTCATTTCACGCTGAGATGGATCGGAGGAGGCGATTGTTTTTTTAAAAGTTTGAAATTTTCATATATTCAAATTCATACTTTTTCCACCTGTAATTGCTCCAAACTAGAACAGAATGAAAAGGAACCCTAATCATATGGTTTCGAATAAATAAACAAAGAATTCATTACAAGTTCAATGACAAGACCTGGAAATGGATACATTTAACAAGCCATGAACCACCGTATCTACCTCGTACGCACATATATCTCCTCCTTTCAGTAAGTTGTCCTCTGCGAATTCGATCCAACCCCTTGTGAATTTAGCTAGCCGACATCACCGGTTGCTCGTTATCTTCACAGGCCACCATCGATCTTCAACCTTAAGTCTCACCATCTCGCTACCAGACGTTAAATATCGCTCAAAAATTGCATACGGCGTGCCCTGCACAAACCAGTTTTCCAGCATACTGTTATTGTGGGTTTAAAATAATGGACTGTAACGTATAACTTAATAAGCCTACCAAACGTTTTTCCTTTAGGTGTACTGGCAGCACAACTCTTTTGAACATTGGAGACTTTGAGGTTGAGGCCATATCTATATCGGCTTTATGATGCTGTGGAGTCGAGCATAAAGGTCCTGCACCAGAACCATTTGCCCGTATAAGTTAATCCGTGTTCGATATTTACATTCGGAGTCCGAGTAAGGTAATTTAAAGCGCACCTTTTGCATCTGCAATGGCATGGAATAAGTGTACTTTGAAGGAGATTTTAGTGTCATGATTTGTCATCTCTAGGACACATACATCACCAACATGTAAATTGTTGTCATCGACGAATGCCCTCCATCCATCATGTATTCTTACTTTTGAACTTCCCATGTTGCTTCTTTGGAGAAGCATTGCCGGCCATGATTTCCCGTTCGAAAGACATAGGTTTACATTGATGTTGGTGACGGAGCTCTCCAAATGTATCCAGGAAAAGGGTTTTGGTATACGCTGGCACAAAAACAAAATTCATAACAGTTGATTTAAAGGTTGGATTCCCACACTCACGTGGCGTTTAAATGAAGAAAAACTAACCAATGAATGGTTCATATATGATGCTCGTAAGACAACAACAAAGTAAGGATTATCAGAAATGAAAGCCAGAGCTCTCTGAAGAGCTGTTTCCTGGGCTATCAGCTTGCTTCCGAAAGCTGTCTCACCGCCCTACAGTGGCTGCTGGCATTGTTGATGAGTTGATGGCGAGGTTTCGGTTTTACTTTTTTCCGGACAGGGAACATCAGTAAAAGCTTGTGATCCATGAAAATATGACTTCTTACATTAGAAAATGGAAACTTTGAATGAGATTTCTTTGCAATTAATTAACTCGAAGGTGCAAACATCACCTACTCGTAAGTTTTTATCTCGTACGAAAGCACCCCATCCATTACAGTCTCACATATGCCCATCCGTTACTTCCAAATGTAGACATGTACTCGGCAGCCCAAGTTTTCCCATCAGAATCACAGAGAACAACATCGCTATTGTCCTTGAGATATAACCTGGAAAAGTCCTTTGGTATTCCCTGCACAAATGTAGAATAAAACACTATAAAATAACACACAAGATAAAATAACACACACACAGTGGCAACACTGAAATCTAGCATAGTTTTAGTAACTTACCACTGAACAGCTATGGTTGGTAATAGGACCTACATAACTTGGTGGCATGAAAACAGAAAAGAATGGATTTGTGGACTTGAAGGCACGGCTAACCGTTTGTAAAGCAATATATTTTTCATCAGATCTCGTACTCGATATCGTTTCACTCGTTCCAGCCCAAGACCCTGCAGGCACAGGTTTGACCTTGGGAACATTTGGTCTCACATCTTATGAAGCCGAGGACATTGCAGCCCCGGCTTGTCTCTCGAGCCATTAGAGATTCCATTTGCGATGTTTACAAGCTCTTCATCGTCGTCGGACTCTTCAACCTTCACTTCTTGTTCAAAGTCTGGATATTCGATCTCCGTTGCGGTTCGATCGAATATGATGACATGGAAATGGCAACCCCCTTCATATCTGAAAACAAAAAAATGTCCAGGCTCCACCGAGTAGTGCTTTGCAAAGTTTAGCCAAACATTTCGAAACCACATTTTACCAATTCTAATTCCCAGATTTTTCCACTTGGGACCTTAATGAACACTGGGTTCGATAGAGAATTCCCATAATCTCTTGCAAATTTAGCAGGAATCCCCTGTTTAACCAAACTGCAGACATTAGCAAATGGCAAAAACCCAGATTCTCATTGAAATTAGACAAAACAAAAATCTTTCGGAAAGAAAACACACAGACTTACAACTTTGCCACTCCGAGTAGCATCTTCAACGACTACCTTAAAGAAATGGTGTGGCTTATGGCATCCACCGAGATGAGAAGCCAATGTTAAAGAAATTAACAGTGATTTGGATGCCATCGATCGATTCAAGTCTTAAGATTTGGATTACGACATCTGCAATCCTTTCCCTGTAATTAGCAGATTGTTTCGAGTCTTAAGATTCGGAATACGACATCTGCAATCCTTTCCCTGTAATTAGCAGCACGAAACAAATGTGTTTTACTCACCAGCACCTGCCCTGGAGATTTCCCCACACTTTCATGCACTGTAATTTGACACCAAAACATAGCATAGACGAAGTCTAGCAGGAAAACCACTCTAAAGTGCCTTTCTACAACAAATTCACATATCAGAATTGAACTGCAGAGGATAAACTTAGCGTTTTCTTTCTACAGAAGAAAATTGAAATGTGTATCAATCTAGAGCAGAATTCTAAGCTATGTTACACCAGCTCTTCATTTTCCTTGAAATGCAAATATCCGAAACATATATCGATGTAGGTATAGGAATTTGATTCACCAATAACCTACCAAATACATATAAAAAACGTAGAACAAATTGAATAAAGATTCTAAGTGGTAATAGTTCTGTTCTTGAACACTGCTTTGAGGTCACAGTAACATCCAAAATGGTACATATTTTTGAAACTAACTGTACGAGAGCAAGCCCAAATAAGAGAAAATTTCAAGCAACAATAAACATTAGTTGACATGAGCATGGAATGCATATATGAGTACCTCTAAATCCTCTCCAGGGACTTCCGAATCTTCCGGTCAGACTCCATAATTTAGCAAATGATTTTGAATTGCTAAATTTCAGAAGTTATGTCTCAGATTCTTCTTCTGCGACCGTTGGAAGTGTACCCTCTCTGATGAATACCGGGTTAAGGAACTTTGCCACAAAGGCCCACAACTTATATACATCCTCGAAATTAGTAAGGAAGCCGAGTGATGCTGTAACGACTTCAACTCTAATGAACCCACTTTTCCTGTTATGTTGATCATTTTCCATTGGTTTGCACAGTGTTGTATCCTGAAGATTTGAAACCACTTGTCGTGGACTGTCTAATATTCGTATGTGACTAAGGATACCTATACCAAGAGAGATACCTTCTCTTTCAGCCAACTTCTGTACAATCTCCGGATTAATGAGTCCCCGGTTTCAATCCTTCACATTGAAAGCCACTGCTGCACCCCATTCATACTTTATTTTTGGGCCATATATGTGAACGAGATTCGCCCTTCCATCTCCATCTGAGTTAGGTAATTTGAGCTGCAGTAATGAGGTTACAAGCCAATTAATCAAAAATCGTAATCTAAGAGTGGTTCTTCATCGCCAACAAGATGCCAACAAGATATCTCGGGCTCCCTCCTGTCCCAATCTTGTCCATCACCATATTCTCCATCGCTGGTTCTTCATTATCAAGGCTGGTCCCAGATGCCTCTCCTGGCTCCAAAGAACAACTCGTGTTCCCTTTATGACTATTCTCTATGCTAAAGGAGACCCTTATATTTATTTCCTTCCCTCCTCCCCAGCAACCTAAATTCACCTTCTGTTTCTCTTATAATGGCACTATCTTTAATCTCCGATGTAATTTCCGATGTTGAGCCATTCGCTAGGCCATTATTCCGAAACACAGAAGAATTAGATACAGACTCCACAGCCAGTGATTTGCTGGCATCCTGTTCTTCCTGGATTTCCAGAAGATGCGAAAGATCTGAAGCCTTCTTATGTGTTCCTGCAAATTGTGCTTCACTGGGGATCTCCTTCACGCAGTCCAGTTCCTGTGAAACTGATCGAACGGCAGCATCAAATGATAACACATGCTGATCACCACGCCCCAGGTTAAGATCTTTATCATCATATATCGGGCTACTATATATTGTTGACGTTGGCTTTGGAGAGAGCCGCTTGTGGTTCTCCCTGCCACTAAACCAAAACGGAGGCAACAGGGAGGATATTTTCTGCCAACGGACTCTGACCCAAATCAATCCAGAATGAGTTATCCAATGACTCATCTTCACTGAAGATGGGCCTTTTCATCACTTCTCCAACAGAAATGCTCTCGCTTTCTTCAAATATGGTGCTTGTACCATCTCTGTCGGTACTATTATCTTGATCCATTTCCGTCTCAAATACATCCTGAACTTGAGCGGATGTGAACGAACCAGAAAAGGCAGGCAGCTGCGTTCCTGGACGGTTTTCTGAGGGCTTATCATCATTCGCACCAACTTCATTTTCCTCGATTCCACCCAACCCATCAAGTTCATCTACAGAATCACTCAGATAGAGAGGGTACTCAGGGATAATCTTCACCATTCCAGAACCAGTCGACCCAGACTGGTTCTGAAGGCATCCCATAACTGATTTTTTAAAAGAAGGCATCCAAATCCAGTTGGATCATATCCAAACACTCTGTAGAATGATGTGATAATGAAATCCGGACGAAACAACGACAGGCCAAGTGAATACATGTCTTTGGGACCCAATGAACCAGCATCGAGCAAGACGTGCCAATTGTTCTGCTGAGCCAATGCCATCCACTAGTAAGTATACTTAGACCCCGTTACTCTAGACTGCACCGGAAAAACGAAAAGGCCAGTAGCACAATCCTTCTTCCTCCTCTTTTTATTCGAAATCCGCTTTCTCAAATCAGTGGAACAAAGCTTAAGAGTTGACCATTTAAACCAAGAACTGTAAACTTTTGCACCCTTTTCCCTGGCACTCTGAACCATCCAATTTACCGATTGACTCTCGTAATCAAACATTGTCAACAATTTCTTATTCGTTTGAAATGGATATGAATCGGCCAGCAACTTAAAGGCAGACCCCCTACTTACAATAAACAGAAGGCCATATTCATGTTCAGGAATGTTCAAGTGATCCATTATCCTACTCTTTATATCATACTCCACAGTGCCTTTCTCAGCACCACCATAGAGTGCATGATTACACAAATTTGCAGTAATCTCAGACAAGCTAAACGTTGAGGATTCCCAGTAATGCAAAGTTTGAACATAAGAGAAAAGCCCGAATCCGCAATAATCAAGGCATACCTTGGGTGACAAATGTGAATACTCATTTTCCCTCAATTGATCAATCTTCTCTGATGACTGGTACTTTGGGTACATTGTGAGGAACTTGCTGAATGCCTCATGGACATCAGGGATAGAATCTTCTCTCTCGAATGTATGCTCGGCGGCGAGGGCGGTGGCTCGCAAGAATTCGCGCTGCACATTGAGTCTTGCGAGGGATCTCGATCGCCCCAAGCTCTCATCTTGATCGGCTAGTGAATCGGGGTCAATGCCCTGGGACTTGAACAAAGACCCTTCTTCAGAAGCCTCTTCCAGAGCTTCCCTGAGCTTATTTTCATGGAGTTTACGGAGAATTGAAGGGTTCTTGGTTTCAGCAACTGATTCAGAGCCATCCCTGCTCTTTCCCTTCTTGTCTAATATCAGATAAGCACAGTGAGCCACGGGTTTCCACAGTGAAAAATGCATCAAAGCTGCAAATTTGAGACAGAGAGGCTCAGGATTCAGCACAAAAAAAGAAAGGGGTTTTATTTTTCAACACATCTGACAAAAAACCCAAATCTTTTTTTAACCAAGTGGGTTCAATTTACGAACTTTAAGCGGTGTGTTAAAGATCAAAGAAAGCCCTAAATTAGGCCAAAAGGGATTCAATCGAGAGAGTCGTTTCAAAACCACAAGGAAACTAATACAGGGCAAAACCCACAGAAAAGAAGCCATATTTGGAAGTCAAAAGCCAATTTTTGAAGAAGATTACAAGAAGAAAGACAAAGGCTAGAGTCAAAGGCTAAAACACTTGAGGAAAACAAAAACCACGAGGATTAACAGTTACAAAACTTCAACCCAAAATCCATAGCTTTTCATTAAACAACAGGGAACAGTTGGGTATTTCTCTGTGTTTCTCTCTCTCAAGTGCAACATATACCAAACCCAACTCCTCTGCATCAAATGCGTGATCAATAGAATTTATAATTAGCTTAATTATAAAATAAATATTTAAACTATACTTTTTTTTCTCAAATATGTACCTAAATTTTTTTTCAATTTATCTAATCTAATATTATAAACGTTATTATTTTAGGTTCTCGACATGTAATGAAAATTAAAGAACACTTGTCATCTTTATAAAAATTAAATTAAAAATTTTAAAAATATTATTATATTTATAAAAAAAATTAATTTTTCTAAAATTGTAAAAAAATTTCCTAAAATCATCCTCAAATCTTTAATCATAACCCTAATTTCTTCCTTTTTGACCACGTCCATCGACGTCGTCACTATCCTTGTCATCTCCATTGTCATTCATTTTTGCCCATGTTATCGTGGTTGTCGCCAAAGTCATCGAGTAGCTTCAATTTTATAATTTTGGTATTATTTTCATCGGGTTTAAATCGTCGATTAGGGGTTCTTCGAGTGGTTGTGTCGTTGGTGTTTGTGTCATCAATGGTGATTTGGTCAGGTGGAGGTTCATCGACAGCAACAGCGATGAACAATAGCGAACATGGGTGGGCGGCGTGAGTACTAGCTCCTGAAAAAGACATTATATGGATTGGGTTAAACGAGTCAGTAATCCTAAAATTAGGATTCATTTCTTGTCGCAAATATTCACTTGTAGCATACCATATCTCAATAGATTGGCGTAATTTTTCTACCGCGTATACATTCCCAAAATGATGGTATTTTTCCAAAATCAAACTTTGTTGTTCAGCATCTTGGACTAGCCATCCCTTAGAAGGTATCGTTAAAAGATCATCAATTCCTAAGGAAATGGATGTAGCAGTGGCTTGCTGGAAACCCAGAGTTTTTACTTGATCCATGATGTGGGATGTATATGCCATTCCGAAGTGATCTATTAATCTGCTAATAAGTCGTTTAATGACAGTTTCATATATCACTTTATTGTGAAATACCATATTGGCTCGTTCTGCCATAAGTACCCCCTTATTCCGCTGAGTGGACTTCGCCAATGGGTTTGAGTCAACGATTGGAAAACTTCCTTTTCTCGATCTTGATTTTCGTAGAAAGTCGGGTCAGGAACTAGGGTCCTAGTTGAACCGAAGAGACCCGAATTCGTACTAGTGTCATAGAATTTTTTAGCTTAGATACCATATGATTGGGTATCGTATGAGTAGGCCCGAAAAAAACCTTGTATAGCTTCTTCGATTTCTCGGTAAAGAGAAATATGACCAACAGTGGTTCGAATGTATATACAAAGAATTTTTTTTAGAACTTCTTACTATTAGATAATGTCCATAAATCTCATGATAGGTACCCAAAGATTCATAGTGAACTTCGATGGGAGCTTCTCTTGAAGCAATAACACATTGATCTAGTCGCCACTGGAGCCACAAAAGACTATCTAAATTGATTATTTTCTGCCTATAAGCTCCAATTGCATCATAGGAATTACAAAAAAAAGGCTCCCTTGTATACTTATAGTTATTATCGTCAATTCTTTCATTTTGATAGTTTTTTCGATTCCATGGATTATACCTATTCGCACAAATACCTCGACGATTCCCGCTCGTTAATACATAGAGGCCAATAAGCATGTCTTGAGTCGGTACAGAAATGGGATCCCCAATGGCTGGAGACAAGAGATTCATATGAGAAAACATAAGTAAACGAGCCTCTGCTTGCGCCTCTAAAGATAAAGGTACATGAACAGCCATTTGATCCCCATCAAAGTATGCATTGAATCCCTTACAAACTAATGGATGTAAACAAATCGCGCGTCCTTTCACTAAAATAGGTTGGAATGCCTGTATACATAATCTATACAGAGTAGGCGCTCTATTCAGCAATACAGGATGTCCCCGCATAACTTCTTGCAATATTTCCCATACAATCGGCCCTTTTTCCCGAATTTTACTCTTAGCAACTCCTATGTTTGGAGCAAGATGTTGTCTAATTAGACCGCGAATTACAAATGTCTGGAAAAGCTCTATTGCTATTTCGCGAGGCAATCCACACCGATGTAATGAAAGTGAGGGGCCAACAACAATGACAGAACGTCCCGAATAATCGACTCGTTTGCCAAGCAAAGTCTCGCGAAATCTTCCCTCTTTGCCTTCAATTACATCTGAAAATGACTTGTAAACCTTATTATGACCGTCCCTCATTGGTTGTCCGCGGATTCCATTATCAAGAAGTGTATCCACGGCTTCTTGTACCAATTTTTCCTGACACATTACTAATTCCCCTGACGTAGATCTACTTGTTGTTAATAGATCCGTAAGAGTATTATTTCGATAGATAACTCTTCTATAGAGTTCATTCATATCCGAACTCATTAGTTTACCCCCATCTATCTGAATGATCGGTCTCAACTCGGGAGGAAGAACCGGTAATAGACATAAAACCATCCATTCTGGTTCTATATTTGTTCGAATAAAATGCTTAGCCAATTCCATGCGTCTAACCAAAAAATCCTTTTTTCTTCCAATTTTTCGATCTTCCACAATCGGAACACCAAAAGTGATAACGCTTGTAATGTTAGACAATGAAATTGTTCAATAAAGTTTGAAACCTATTTAAAAAAATATTGTAGTTTAAACCCTTTTTTATAATTAAGCCTTTATAATTTAATAATTCTTGTAACGCTCCCAACCCGTATCCGATCCAGATACGAATCCGAGGTGTCACATTGACTTTTCAAATCATTTACTTTTTAAAACATAGTGAAATTAAACATACATTTTTAATTAAATGGTGGAACCTTTGCTCAAAAGTAAATAAACAGAAATTTAACTTATAATGAAAATAAAATTCAATAATTTACATAAATATAGTAGTGTATGTTACAAAACTGATCAGAGCATATACGATTCAAACATTTAATTACATGTCAACAATATTTAATATAACAAAAGAACCTACTGTTTAAATCTCTTCTGATCTGATCCTTAGTAGAGATATGTTGTCCCGACTTCTTATCCTTGCTCCTCTGTCTTCTTTGATACTATGTGTGAGATACTCACACGCTAAGTATTTAACTTAGTGATGTGTATAATATATAAATGAACATAATACATGCAATCACAATATTACTTTTATAAACATCATAAGTACATAAACTATCATACACTTCACCAAGCAAAACATGTAACATCATGCACTATTCTTTCAGGTTATTTATTTTAATAGCCCATGGTACATTTCTGAGAACCTAAGGTATGTGAGTGCATTGAAGTTGTGCACAAATGCTGTCACCACAGCTCGTATAAATTGCACCAAAGTGTCGCATAGAAATTGCACCAAATTGCCACATAGAAATGTCCCGAAGGACCACATAATATTGTCCCAAAGGATCGCATAGAAATGTCCCGAATGACTACATAGAATTATCCCCAATGATCTCGTAGAACTCTCGACTCTTGGCATGCCAATTATACCTTTAGCTCTCATAACACATACTTATGGGCTTTACCATTTTTAACAATTCACATAACTTATATCACATAGGCATATAATCACATAGCTCATTATCACATAGCTCATGTCACACTTTCATATAGTTACGTAGATCAATACCATACAACTTATATCACATAGGTCAATATCACATAACATATAATACAAACAATGCATATTCATATAATACCGAGTCATAACTATGCTTCTATTCATGTAATCATATAATTAAAACATTGAAAATAGATTTATCGCAGTCTATTTTCCATATAGCAATATATATCATAATAGTATGCACTCACCTTAGCTTCACTAGTCAAAGCAATACACTTATAACTCTTGATTGATCTTAGTCTTAGAATCGTCCTGAACTTGCCTTCGATCGATACCTACACAATAATACAATTGGTAAAAATATCAGAATTCATATCACTATAATCAATTCTTACTAACATAAGCTAAACAAAGCACTTAAATTCACAAATTCCATATGAATAGTATTGGTACCCAAGGTACATTACCAATACTTCCTTACTCTGGTATCGATATTATACTTCAGTATCGATACACTTTTTACATTCTGGAATTCAGCCCTAAAAATGGTATCAATACTTAAACATTGGTATCGATATCATAGTATCGATACTACTTTGGTATCGATACTCTATGAAGGGTTTATCAACTTTTTCCTTATAGTGTTGATACTGTTCATCTAGCATCGATACCTAAACTCAAATATCACCTATTTTTGCTTTAGAGTATCGGTACTGTTCATCCAATATCAATACCCTTGCCTAGAATTTACTCATTTTATCCCAAAAATTTATTAAACCCACCTAAATCCTTCATTTTGACCTCCTTTCAAACATCTAAACTTAACTACACTTATTCAAACTAATTTATATCACTTTCACACACTTTCACATACAAAATCCCACAATATCACTCGAAACTAAGAATCTTACCAAATTTTCAACATGCTTCAAATCAATTTCTAACTTCTTAAACCAAATAATCTGACTAATGACAAGTTAAATATGACTTCAAAATTCAATTACTAACTTTTTTGTCATAAATTCACTGAAAAACCCTCTTTATCAAATCACCCATAACTTCTTCATCTTTTAGTTTCTACTTCTCTTTAAGCTTTTTCAATCTTTCTTAACACTCCAACAGCCAAAACCAAACATAATTACAAGAAATAACCTGCTGAAATATTTCTTACCTTAGCTATGAAGCTCACGATAGAGAGGAGGAAGAAAGATGAAAAACAAGAGAAATTTCTGGATTTCTTTTTAACTCCCTTTCTTTGTTCCACGTATATTTAAAACACTAATAATGAACTTTTAATTCGTTTCCTTGCTAAATGACCATTATATCCCTTCTTCTTTCAAACTTTGATATTCAATCCTACACCAAGAAATTCCAAATTAATCCCTAAACTTTTTAATTTATCTAATTTGATCATGAAATCTTAAAATCTTACAATTTAGTCACTAACTTGGTTCTTGGGATGTTATATTTCTCTTTCATCGGCTCCTTCAAGAGATCCCTCTTAACAAACAGTAAGAATGGAGATTGATTTCATATATCAAATTAAATAGCGCTTCTTATTATATCCAAAGGTGATTAATGAGTTGAGCAGTTTGTTAACAATTTTAATTCAATTTGATCAAAATTTGATAAAAATCCGACTCATGTTAATCTGGCTTAAACTCGAGCTTGACTCAAAACCTAAATGAGTTGAGTCGAGCAAAGTCTAACTCAACTCGACAAGTTTATGAGTAACTCGTTACTTTTTTATATAATTTTTTAATAGTTATCTTAAAAAAGTATTTTATTCAAAAAAATTAATAATTTATTAATATATAATAAAAAAGATGATAAATTGTTAATCTATTAATTTTCTAATAAATAAAAAGTACTAAATTATTAATTAATATTTTACTATACCCAAAAATCAAATCATATTTATTAGTATTTTAATATATTTGTGGATTGTTACATTAGAGTTTAGGATTTGAAATTGTTTCATATACTCTTTTGATAGTTTTTTTTGGTTAATTTTGCTAATTTATGTTTATATGAAGCTTTATATAGTATTAGTAGATTTTACCTATAGTTAAGAAAAATAAGCTAAAACTTTTAGTTAACTTAACGAGCAATGAGCATCGAGCTTAGCGAGCAACGAGTAAAGTAACAAGTTTTTTTAACGAGCACGAATCAAATATTAGCCAACTAGCAATTGACTCGCTCAATAATAACCCTAAATATATTCATTTTCATAATCGTTGTTATTGATAATATAAAGAATTAATATCTTATTTTTTCCTTATATTCATTTTCATAATCGTTGTTGATAAATTTATTTTGTATGTACTATTATTTCTTACAATCAGCTTACTACAATTTTACTTTTTATTTACTCTTAAATTTTAGAAGGATAAAATTTTTAATTTTATCGTTTTGAATACAATATATAGGCGATTCCTTAATGTCAATGCACAAGACCCAATAATATGCCCAAAAGTAAAAGGCAAATAGAGTTTACTTTTCTCTTCCGCTAGCTCAGCAAGATTTGCTGAATAAGATGGATGAGATGTTCAGGAGGCACGTGACTACTAGAAAGAGTATTGTTGAAGACCTTACGCTTCCCCCAGGTTTTACACCTATTCATATTCCAGTGACCACCCCGATGCATCAGGAATTTGGACCCCGAGCTTTCTTTTCTACTGAAAAGCCACCATAGTATCAGGTCGGAACGTCAGTCTACATTAACTACCATGTTGTGTCTAGAGTGAAACCTAGTGATTTTTATGCTAATAATAAAGTTCGGAATCTGAATGATATATTTGAGAAGGAAAGGGCCAAGGATGATCTCACCCAACAATTGAAAAATTTAAAAGAAAATATAAAATCTATAGAGATTGTTGAGCTGTTTTATGGGTTCGATACCAAAGAAATAAGTTTGGTCCCCGACCTAGTCCTTTCGTGGAAGTTCCAAGTTCCCGACTTTGAGAAGTATGATGGAACCACATGACCTTCGTCTCATATCATGTTTTCTAGAAGAATGGTTGGCCACGTGGAGAATGAGAAGTTGTTGATGTATTGTTTTCAAGACAGCCTAATTGGACTCGCTTCCAAGTGGTATAACCAACTAAATCATACTCAAATCCGTTCTTAGAAATATTTAGCTCAGGCCTTCTTATGTCAATACAAGCACATGATTGATATGGCCCTCGATCGAACATCATTGCAAAATATAAAGATGAAGGGTAAAGAGAGCTTCTAATAGTACGCACAACGATGAATGGGCATTGTATCTCAAGTACATCCACTAGTGACTGAAAGAGATTTTACCATTTTGTTCATCAATACATTAAAATGTCCCTATATTAATCACATGATTGGGGTAACCACTAAAAGTTTATCTGACATCATCATGTATAGAGAAATGATCGAAAGAGCTATTAAGAATAATAAGATAAAGGGCACTAGCAGTGTTGATATCGTGACAAAAGTTAAGGTCAATACAATGGGGTTATATTCAACTAATCATGAGATCAGATACCATAAGGTGATCGGAGAAAACACTCATATTGGTCCAATCCCAATTATGTATGAAGAATTGCTTCCAACACTTGTTGAGAAGAACCTTGTGACTCCAATTCAGTCCAAGCCAAATGAAGCTCGTTTCCTAAAGGGTACGATGTTAATGCCAATTGTAACTACCACATAGGAAGCTCAGGGCACACTACTGAGAATTGTGGGGTAATAAAGCACAAGGTCAAAATTTTGATTATTTTGGGGGATGAACCTTTAATGGGTGATTGAGCATTCTAATGCAAACTGAGAAGAAGCCATTGCATCTAACATGAATCTTTGTTGTACTTGCAAGCATATTGTCTTGTTTGAGCATGTTTTTCTTTCTTTCTTTAAAAAAAAGTTTGTAATTCGCTTGAAATTTGAACGTATCAAAAAAATGTTACCTTATGAGTAATGAGTGAATTTCAATCTTAAAATTCTTTAAATATCAACTG